AGCCAACGAGACTCTCGAAGTAATGTGGACAGGGTGTTTGATCTGCTCAACATTGGCCGGTAACGTCACAGTAGTCTGAGGGAAGTCGGAAAGCTGGAGGCCAAACAAACGCGACTAGATTAGTAGGCGGATCATGACTAAGTCGTTTAATTAAGGTTTGAGAATAAAGAGAGAGGATCAGCGGAGATGCACAAGTTAAGGGATGAAGGGAGCCATACTAATAAAGTGTGAGCTAATCCAGCAAAGTTCTCGGCTTGAGGGAAGCGGTGCGTTGGATATGTAGTGCTTAGATCGTCTACGTCTCGGTAGTATGGATGCAGTCAGAAAGCAGGAGACTGGTCAGATGAGACTAGATTAAGGCAAGGCACAGAGTTGATTGTCTAGTTAAAGAAATGCAATCAGATACGACGACAAGGAGAGGTGAGGGTAGGGATGAGTACGGCTTTAATGATAGTGTAAAAGTTAACGACGCTTCTGAGGTTTATTTGAACAGCCCATTAGGTCAACCGATCCAAGGGTGTTAATGTCTCAAAAGTCTGAATGGATCCGGAGAACAGGAGGCCGATCGGGCAAGACTGGATTAGTCGGCGTGCTAGGATTAGGACGTACAATTAAGATGAGGAGAGATATAACCATAAAGCGTGAACGAGTCTAGAAGACTCACGATGTTAATAAGTTAATAAAGGTTGAGCCATTCTTGCAGGCTCTTGAGGTGTGGGGAACATAGCATTGAGTCAGCAGAGCCTACCCTGTTTGTATCTTTAGAGTTATGAAGGCAGTCAGAGGGAAGTAGAGTGGTCAGATGCGACTCCGTCAGCACAGGGTACTGAGAGTAAGCAGTCCGAAGGAAGGAGGAATGAAGACAGAGTGAAGTAAGGAAAGAACAGGGTCAGAATTGAGAAAACTTTACCGATTACGAGTAGAGAAGCCAACGAGACTGGAGGTAATGTGGATAGGGTATTTGAGCTTCTTACTATTGGTCGGTAACGTCACAATAGTCTGAGAGGTCAGAAAGCAGGAGTCCAAATACGCGAGGCTGGTATGTCTTTAAGTAGTGAGTCGATACTTCATTGCAATACAGATGGTGCAGAGCTTATTCCGAAAGTCATGCGTATGTAGTGAGATAACCCAAGATGTGTGTTGATGGTGGTGAAAGCATGTGAATTTTCATCGAGTTCAATTTGCTGATAGGCGTGGTTCAGATCCAGTTTGGTAATATCTTCGCCACAAGAGAGAGAGAGGCATAAATATCTTCATATTTAGGTAGTGGATATCCATCTGGCTGTAGTGCTTGGTCAATTGTAACGTTGTAGTCACTACATAGCCTTCCAGTACCATCACTTTTTATTATAGGCAATATTGGGACAGCTTAAACGGACTACTGGACGAGTTCAATCGTACCATCTTCTAGCAGTCGGCGCAGCTCCGTCTCAACCTTTTCCCGCAGGGCATAAGGTACGGTGTGCGCCTTCCAGCATCTCGGTGTTGCTTGTGGTGTTAGTATCAATCGGGTCGCGTAATTCTTCAACAGGCCCGGCTTAGTCTGATCAATAAGAGGTGTAGGTTTTTGCAAAATCCCAGCTAGTTGTAAGTAATCTTCAACCGTCTTGATATTTGACATGATGCGCGGAAGTCGGTTAATAGCATGGCGACCAAGTATGTTTGGACCTGGTCACCCAGAAACGTACACACGGATTTGATCCGGAGAATGGCGGTAGGAGATACGTGTAACATAGTACCAAACACATTCACCAACTGTCCAGTGTATGATTGTAGTTGTAGTGTATGGGATCTAGTTATGGTAGCTGCGACAGGTCAACGGGTCGTATCAATTTGGAAACCAACAAGTTGTTCGTTTACTTGGATAGATACAACAAACGGTTTCACCGCTGTTATGTTGTGGTTAAAAACTGTTGTGGTGCTCATCCAGTTCTGGTATAAATCCTCAGTAATGTGGTTCGCCGTTTTTGGACTTCCCCGCACAATGAAATTTCGTGCAAAAAGACAAACGTACAGGATATGTCTTCTTGCCATAAAATCTGCATAATAAGTGAAGATACCAAAAATCAGCCGGATCAGAATGCCACAGCGATAACCATGAAATTCTCTATGCTGTACGGATTGAGGCAATGTATGATCACACTTTGTTTGAGAGACTTTGTTTACCTCCTGTGAAATTATCTGATCGGGAAGTGAGAGTGCCGTTAGTTACTGAATGAGCTTAGCACGTTGTTGAACTATATCACAAGCTTTTTCCCAAATACTGGTCTTTTCGTCTTCTGACAAAAGACGCTCGCCTGGAGTGTCGCCAAGCACACCAACGATCAATCCTTGTAAAAGCGCTGCTTTCTCGAAGTGTGTTGGCCTTATTTGGTCATAGACGCAATCAAGAAGGGCAGTAAGGAATCGAGGAAAAAATTCATTTACATTTTCCCTCGGTTGTTGCCTCATGGTGTTAAAGTCGTTCCAGGCTGTGAACACTTGAGGTTTTTTCCCTACAGTAGGTCAAAAGATTAGAGCACAGGTTGTAATTCATGTTTCCTGTACAGCTGAAAATTAGCAAAAGGTCGCTGCACTTCGTCCCCGAGGTGGTGGCGCAGTAATATAAATTTCGATGCTTCGTCAATCGCATTGTTATTACCAAAAAGAACAAGCAACTCAGTGTAACTAGTTAAAGTAATCTTCCACTGCATCCATTGTTGCGTCGTAGGTCTTTTCGCGGAAGAGTTCCAAAACGGCCGTGTATGAGGTAATTGAATTTGCCATAAGAGATCCAAATAACCTTCGTCGCCAATTGCTTAATCCAAGATGCATCAGAACAATGACGGGGCAATGAAAGTATATCGTAAGCAACGGTGCATACAGGAGAAATATAGAAGCAAGCAGCAAGCAAGCAAGTAACCTAAGCGCTGTGTCCTGTGTTCGATCAGACAGGGACGGACTTGGACAATGAGCGCAGTGAGAGGAAAGCGAAGCACACATACACGTATTGATGGACACACACACAAGCGCGTACATTCGCAGTCAGTAGAGGCGACACGGAACACTGGCTTAGGGCGCATCATGCCGCTAACATTAGTTTTGTTCTACGTGCATTGAGAACGGATTCGTACATTGACAAGCCCTTTGCAGAAGTCGATAAACCCCATTACCACAGTCACTCCCAAGAAAGATACTTGTAACCAAATTTGGGGTCACTGAGTTCGGCAGACCCTAGCACCATTCATATTAATTTCCAACACGTTCAATTGCATAATTGTGTGGCTGTCCTCTCGCAACTAGCAAGTATGATAATTATCTAAAATGTAATCTTATATTCTTTTCCGATCATAAATGGGGTGTATGTCCACCGAAACACCCTCCCGTATTTTGGCCATCCATGGTCCCTATACTGATTGCGTAGTTTACACGCGAGCATAAGTGTTTCTCAGGACCAACTGTGGATAGCACGTATCGCATAACTTCAGCAATGTCATGCATTTTAATCGTGAAATGATGAGGCATTACTAGAATGTTGTTGGCCAAAACGAAATCAGAAAACAGAGCTGTGTAGTAAGACTGGTATTAAAGTAAACGACAAGTACCACTGTAGACCCAAAATAGACCGAAAGGCATTCGGTCCGTCTGTTCGTGGGTCACCTGGAAGCTGCATCAAATCACCACTAAGTGGCTATGGCAGACAGCCAATAATATGAAATGCTTTGGTTGGCCAATTGTTTTGTCCTGTGTCGGCACGGTGGGCAGCTATGGCTGAAATATATAATCTTTTGTATCCAATCGCTAACTAGGTGCACCAATTCAGTTACCTGTTCCTGTGGAGCAGGATCGGTCTACGATCAGGTGTATATCCGAGAGAATAAAAGAACATCCTCCAGCATGGTTAGTGACTGGGTGTGGAAGGGTATGTAACTCAGCAATAGCTGCCCACCTTACCGACACAGTGCACAACTGCAGGTTAGCCAATACATTCCAACTTATTTAAAAGGCCCCGGATAATCGATTGGTATACTTGCAGCAGATCCTAGAAGCTGCTGAAACTATAGCAATCTGATCGTACGAACCCAAGTTGTGCACTCAGAAGCGATTTGTTCAGGGCCTACAACTGGCCCGGCTCGATAGAAAAGTGATTTTTCCCATGCAGCTGATAGCCGGAGAACACACACACACACGTACGCACACACGAGGCGAGCGCTTGGCACAGAGTACCAAAGATGTTTCTCAGTTTTTTCATGAAAGTATGGGATGGATCTTTACACGTGTCTGCATGCTGGAACTATAGCAGACCTCAAGTGCATATTATTTTGCTAAGTACTTTCCCTATAACACATCAAATAACGACTCCATCAACTTATTGCAGTGGCGCTTTTTTGGCGGGAAATATTTCAACGTATAAAATAGCCACTGAACACAGGATCTCAGTTATCAGTCGCCAGATTATCTCTATCTCGTTCCAGTGATTCAAGGAGCAAGCTGCTGCACAAAGAATTGAGCGGGTACAAAATGTAACTGCATGACTGATATGTTTTTGTACTAAGATTCAGATCCGTTATACCAGAGACTTGAAACGGGACACTGGTAGTATACAACATTAAGCCTATTAGAAACTATCGTCTCGGAACTAGATTTAAAAACCAACATCGTCTTCATGGAATTAGTTGCTATTGTGTTTATGGCTTCTCGGTTTTTTAACCACAACTGAATGCCAAAAATCATTGAGACAAATCTTAGCCTAATGCTATTTTTAAGCTAAAACGCCCTCTAAGCCTAAGTACTGTTCTTTCGATAACTTTGTTCTTTTCGAAACACGAAAGAGCTACTTTTGGTCTTAGTGCAAGGAAAACACCTCATGTGCTCTACTTAATGAAGACTGAACTATCTGCGCTGAGGATTACTAGACGTAGACATTTTTGTTTCAGTGGTGAACCGGACCTCAGTAAGAAAACGAAATGTTAACAAACGTAGTTAGATAAATGATGTAATATGTCTGGATTTCCACTCACTTGTATACTGTCTTCCATGAGCAGTTGGCCCAAAAGGCGACTAGTCGCGACGATGTCAAAATGCAGTGATTGATTTTGAAGCAAAATAAATATCGCAGCATTCATGAGGTGCACTCTCGTTTCGGATTTTTGCACGGTGAAAATCTGTTTCAACAGTTCCTCAAATATCCACTCAGATGGCACCATAAGTGTCAGTTGCATAAGCAACTGCATAAGGATTTGCCAACTAGGTAGAGTCGGGCTGGAAAACGCACTTGACAGCATAACGATTATGGATCCAAGGTGCTGGCTAACGGTTTTTTGTGACAGGTTAGCGAGGAGTATCTGTATTCAATAAGAGCATGAAATCACTTTTTAAAACATAAGGCGTAAAAAGAGTGAAGCAACAGTACATTGTTAGGTTGCAACAGGATGTTTGATGGCCCACGGTGTCCTTTTTGGCTTAACGTTTCGATAGTTTTTTGCTAGAATCATGGTTAATTTATAGCACTTCTTCAAGTAGTTGGGCCGCCGAAGAGCACGCGCTTGACTCACCATTGACATTAGGAAATATGTTTCTGACTGTTGATCTGTTCCTGTGCGAAACGATTTATCACACAGGCGAAACATAAAAGATTTATTTATTTATACTTGGCATACAAGATAAGTATATTTCTCCTCCAACTAGCATGTTTCCGTCTGCGAACTAGGGTAGCAATTGGCGTCTGTCTTACTATCTGGCGTCTATGGATGCACTTGTACTCAGCTGAAAGCTGAAGCAAAAGCAAGGTTACGAACTGAGAGAAGCTCACTTCCTCAACCGAAGTGAGCTTCCGACCCCCACCACTACTTGCACCATCCACAACACCAGATAATCAGTGATTTTGTAATGTCACCGAAATTGCTGCTTAATTGAAGGTTAATACTGATGCAATTTGCGAATTTTTGTGATTTTAAAACTAGTATTATCCAATGCGTCATCTTTCTTCACAAACCTTCTCTCAGTATCTTTCCAAATTCTCAGTTTTTCTTTGATCTTGACGAATGAGGCACATAGCCGGAATGATAACCACAGGTCTGCCCATTCAGGGTGCACGCCGCCAATTTTTGCTTAACCTGTGTAAAGCACCTTAAATTTATAACGAAGTGCACTTTTACGGATGTACTATGCCAAGATGTCTTGGTCTCAACGCTGTGGGATTCATCCGTATTCGAAAACAGAATTCATTTCCACAACGGACTACTGGAGGCGACTAGTGAACTACACAAACGTACATAAACATGGTTACCGACGTTGTTAAGTAACATAGTTCCAACATAGGCACTCGAATAATGAAACAGTTGCAATGGACGTGACAAGTGGCTCTCAAGCACAAATCGTAAGCGTTGATAAACTATTCTTTTTACCTAAACGGAGCTTCCAGCTGGTTCGACTGATGGCCAACATTCAGCAAACAGACTAGACTCCATTCTGTTCACATCCTGGAGGCAAGTGGTGCGTCTGGGAACATGTACGACTAGATGCTACTTAAATTTTGTAGGAACCGCATCGGAAATGCGGCTCATATCCAGTGTCCCTTACTGCTTCAGTAAAGCATACTGCCAACAGCCGTTATGCATCCCCTATTATCGATACTTTTGTATACTTCCGAATTCATATTTGAAAGTATTTATGGAGCACATCAGGTAACTGACTTGAGATTTATGCTTGCAAGATATCGGTTTCCATACCCCATTTAATTAGGGATCTGTCTACTCAACGCACATTAGTATTAACTAATATGGGTGTGAGTTTATCAATTTTTGGAAGCTGTTCCTTAGAATGAACGAGCAAGTATTATATTCAAGAGCGACAAAGGCTATGGTATCATTAGCTCAAAGTGAAATATCAACTACACAAGCCGAGGTCGATTCCACTTGTAGTTGGGTGACACTGGAATTATTGTCAACTGCTTTGCAACGATACTGTCGATAGAGGGTTCTTGGCGGATGAAATTACATTGCTCCATGTCGTGTGTTCGCTTCCTCTGAGGAGGTTATTTGAAGCTCTGTAATACCTAAAATTTCAATGTCAATCTTTTATCATGTTTCCGAACTTCTTCCCAGTTATTCTTCTCTTCAAGACATTCGTTCCAAGGGATATCTGGAAGAATGCGCTCCTCAGATGACGTGTTACGGAGCCGAATTGAATAGGTTAAATCGACCTCTATGTCATCAGTGGAACTTACTATCACCCGGAGGAGTCGAGGTTCACCGTGATGTACTGATGTTCGGTGACGTGGAACACGTCACAGTGTCGTGGACTCAACCATAATGCTAATTGCACTGCAAACGGTATTCTACTGCTTACGATGATTCATCGGATTCCATTTGATGGTACTAGACCAACTCCGGAACGTTCGTGGACACAACAGTCAAAGTCCAGTGATTTCTCCAAAGTTTGCAGCTTTAACGGTCTTAATGCGCACTGTTTTAAACAGTTTGTTTGTGTGTGATGGTTGCCTTACCCTAATGTTGCTCGGGCTTTTATCGGAGTAGGTGGTGTTTCCTCCGGCGTTCACATGAAGAATACTGATGCGAACGATGCCAGACTTTTCTCCATGGTGGAGGAACTTGAGCTCCAAGGGGTCATCAGCATCACTGGCCTGATGTGAGCTACACCACTGAAAGGATGAGGATGGGCGCGTTTGTAACTTGTCAGCTTTTTGGAGTGTAGTGAGCCAGAGAATCTAGCGGCACAGAAGCTGCAGTGCTTTTGGAGCGTCCTGCTTTATTCATTGGCCTAAAAGTGGGGCTTGTGCTAGCTGGTTAAGGTATTAGCGTGGCAATATTTACCCCAAGGGAGCGATCTTAGTATGCACTAAATGAACGATTATATTAAACTATCGGATTTCTTCGGGAGCAACGAAAAACAGCTGACAACGGGAACGACTTGACATGTAGGACAAAACCAAAATGCGTCAGCAACATTCTTTTCTGCCTCGCTTCTTAGAGGGATTATTCTAGACTAGGCTTGTGGTAAGATCTAATGCAATTAGAACAGGTTATCCCGGTCTTCATGACTTTACCGCAATTCTAAAAAGAGAAAAGGCGGCATTGCGATAAGTTTGGAATGCTCGCTACACTGTTGTCGTTTCATCGAGGTTACTCCAAGCCGTCGTTGTGGTGCTCACTTTGGTGCACAGTAAACCGGTTAAGCCCAATGCCATGGGGATTTGTGTGCATTATGTTTATCAGGTTCTTGTCAACACTCAAACAGCAGGACTGACATCAAGTAGTGCGTCATGGTCCTTTGTAAACTCTTCAAAATCAGCGCAGCTATATAAAGTCAAAAGAGCTTTCCATAACGGACAAGTTAGAAGAGAAAAATCATTTCTTTGGCACTCCAGCCGATTGTATTGCGTGGCCAGTCTCAGACGTGTGTCCTTCAGTTTTGTGCTGCAGCTAATTTTTAGCAAGTGGTGGGGATTTCCTGTACGCCGGGATGAGTTCACCTTGTAGACGCCGATAACTTCCGCTGTACACTGTTAGGGCTGTCAGTCGCGTCTGGCAGGGCAAGTGGAACAATCCCTGTTCAATTTGTTAACACATCGTTATGGGATCCCTAGTGTATCCAGATCGTGTTTTATCCAGGTTTACCAGGCTTAAAGCACTTACTCTACATGGGACCTCACTTATGTTTCTTGCTTTGGAGGGAACATATAAGGTTCGAAACGTTCGTATGCACTTCGTAAGAGACCAATATATTGGTTGGCTGTTTTGGACGCCTTCAGGTACTGCGTCGAAAAGTGGAGTTCGTCTTGCATCAGCATCGTAATTTTGGGCTCTCGTGAGACGGTCTTCAATACGTGTTCCCCAAGATCATATGCGTTAGTTGGTCCTGTGACGTAGATGCACCTTTTTGCACTTGCTTGAGCCGAAGGGAAGTAGCTTCGCCTTTAATCATTCACAAGCATGGTTTAAGTTTCGATGCAACATATTGCGATCTTCCTGACTACCGGGCGCACGCCACATATCGATGTCGTCAGCAAACATTAGGAACTTCGACTCGATGCCACGTACAAGGCCAATGGACCATTGGACCTTTAAAATGTAGAGAGTAGAAGGAAGCATTCCTTGTCAACTGCCTCACCGCTCGCTCGTCAGAGAGATCAAAGCGGAATTTGCAACTCGTTGACACGAAAGCAACAAGCTCCGAGTTTACCCAGCAGGGGATAATCCAATCTATATGTGTAACATTCCTCCGACTGCGCAGCAACGACATGCCTAGTTAGATTGTTCCTCTCCTACACTACTCTAGTAGACCGATTGACGTCTCCACAGACCTGAAGTTTCCTCTGTTAAAACAGTTTCCAGTGGTGATGCATACTAAGCATATGAGTGGCCACAACATTGACCATTGTGGAATATCGAATTCCACGTCAGTAGGAGTTGAAATAGGCCCGAAGCTGAAGTGGCCGTTAAAGAAAAGTATTTCTGATCCTTCCAAGGGCTTGGTTCCAAATTCTGTGTGCTTGCAGTGTTTTGGGAGGGATTTGGTGATCTAAGTTTTCGAAGGCTTTGGTAAGGCAAATGAGGGGACGTCAATGCCAGTCCCACTATCCACCTTTTCAGTACAATTGACATGCGCGATCAGTAAATTTGTAGTATATAACCGATGCTGACTGAATCCGTGTTTCTGCGGTACTTTAATGTTACATCTTTCTTGACAACCAGTTATTGTTTCAGATGTAATCGACTCCGACACATTTGAGAGCACTATAGGGGGATCACTGGGCGATGGTTGGCGGGCTCTGAACGGCTATCGCGCTTGAAATAGGGGTAATAATACTCTGTCTCCATACGTTAGGTATCTAAACTGTTACCCAGACATCCTTGGAAAAATTGTGTGTGTTGCTTAGCCAACTTAGGAGCTGTCACCTGCAGTGCTTTCTGGTGGATGTTTTCAACTTCATTGCAACTGTTAGTGCTCAACAGCAGCGGTTTCCCAGAAACAGTTACTTAACGCAAAGTGACGCTTTTAAATACTGGCATCTGGGGGTGGGACAGATGTGACACATGCTGCTGGCACGTAGAAATAGTACTGAATACTGTATCCGTATAATTTTGGCTGCATCATCGGCATTTGTAGCACATCTTTTCGTTGAGATGAAATGGGGGACACCACGCTTCACTTTCCGGAGTCCATTCCCATATGTATACATCAGCTTGTTGATGCAATACCTTCCCGATAGACTCCGCTATTATATTAAGTTGTCTTCACGGATAACTGGGTTAAAGTAATTATGCTGCACTACATAATTGTTCCGTTTGTTAGGACTATAGGTGTGTTCGGTACATACACC